CGAAAACTGATGCACCTAGAAACTTTGCCGCTCATCAAATTACGATACGCCGCGCGCGACGAAGCGACGAGAGTTCGATTGTTTTGCCTGTCCCCTTCGATCGCTGCCGATGCCTCCTGGTCTGCAAACTCCTGTTGAGCTGAGCAATAAGCGGAGCTTCATTTACAGCTGACAAGAGTCTACAGTTCTTGCCAAGATACTACAGGTAATTCAACAGGAAACAAAGTAATTGGCGGAAGTGCAATATGCTCCCCCAAGGACAGGAACAGCAGGCGGAAATAGCTCTGTTTGCAATGATGGAACCGCTTGATGCGACGTTGCCACTCATGTAAAAAATTGTGTTATTTTGCAGCTTTTTATATCGTTGGATTGGTTGCCCATGAGTTTACGAAAATCCCTCCCTCCCCCACCCCCTCAAGGGAAATAGCGCTGTACTCATCTTCCCCGCCTACTCAGTCAAAATATTTTTAGGCTCGCAAAGAGATAAGAGCTGTGATGTCTCAACAAATGCTGCTAATTCGAGCAAGAGAGCAAGAACTACTCGACGAGTTGGACGTAATTATGAATTACCGTGAACGTTCTCTAGAAAACCAGCAACAGTCCCTCTACAGAAACATTTGTGAGAATTTATCACAATAGTTTCACTTACTTTCATTTATTTAATGTTGTGATTCAAGGGGAATGCAAACAGACGCTGGAAAAAGTACGCGAGTGTGCAAACGTAACGACTCATGCTGCCGACGTGCTTTCCAGGTGAGGCTTTGCACTGAAGAGTTTCAATTGATGTTCAGTTCTTTTTCTAGTTTGGCATGTGCTAAGAGTTAGGTGATGCAAAGTCATCAGAGGTTTCCCTGCAAGATAATTGCTTCTTCAGAAAGCGAAAGCGTTGATCTCAGAAGTATTAATCAAGCGTCATTAGGGGTACACCAGTACATTGCAGGGTCAGGCATGGTGCTGACAGATTTCTTCCACAATACGACCTTTTCTTCCAGAAATATAGCCCTAATTCATTGAAGGGCGCTGAGTGAATCTCCACTCAACTATCGGAAAGTATGAAACTGGTGCTTCGCTCACCAAAGGATATTTAGCGCGTGTCGAGCAGAACTTCTCAATAACATAAATTTCTCCTGAGGACAAATATGTCGCAGTCGAGAATCGTACACGTACGCTTGACCGTAGACTCTGGCGTGTTAGTACGGGTCTGATGAGCCTTGTCCTCAGAGGCTCATCCCCGCAATCACATGAGTAAAACGCTTCCGTCGTCGCTCCGTTAGGTGTTAACAGTATTGCAGTTCTGTTCGCTGCGGATGAAGGGGCGTGTCAGGCGGGACGGATTAAGCGCGGTGCCAAACCCATTTCCCACTAGTTGTTGAAGCGAGCAAGCGACAAAACTACATCTTATCGTTCGTATCAACAGTTTTCCGCCAATCGTTGTCGCTAACTTGTTTCAACGAGTGAGGGAGTAGGGATTTCGCGCTATGCCGACCCCATCGCGCCTCACACGCCCTTTCATCCGCAGCGAACAAGACTGTGTCTATCGTTGCATCACTGCATGCAGTATTACATTACGCTGATGACAAATAATGGAGCAGCGACATGTACTAATGCAGTGCTTAAGTCGGCTCCTGAGGACGACGATGGGTCCAGAGGCTTTCGGCAGACAGTAAAAGTTCGGAGGGAGTTGGTAGGCTACTTGACCGTTTGTAATGAAGTTGTATAGAGATCAAGTATCGAGATGGATCGAATAAATATTAGGTTGTTCCAAAAGTTCGTGGAATCGAACAGAGTTAAGTTTATTCCAGTGGGAAGCAATTTTGATCAACTATATATATGTCACCTTCATTGGCAACTTGTTGCCAATCACTACGCAATGTGTGGTTGCCCTGCTTCCAGAAGCCTCTTGGTTCTGTGCCCAGAAAGGCAGCTGGGTCATTTTTGAGGTACTATCAAAAATCGTATTTTTTACCCAGAAGATGGCCGCTGTGGGATTAGTTTAGATGGCGATCGGAAAGAGCTAAGTCAGGGCTACGGACTGTGGAATTCCCCAGCTAAGCTTCGGGATCTCGAGCAGTGTCGTTTTCCAAATGTGTGACCCTGAGCTGTGGTGGAGTAGGCAAACATTGCTCGGTTTTGGGACCAAATGTTAGCGATTTTCAACCCCCCTTTGCAGTTGATTACAATAGGGTTCGTAGGTTACATAGCGCTGAGAAGAAGAAATTCCATTAAGGGAAGGG